AACAACGTTTTAATCAGTGGTAAAATTCGATAAATATTGTGAGACTGTTTGCGAGTCACTGTCAGCTTGTGCAGGTTTGTTGAGTGTGTGCTGGTTGCGTATGTTGATAATACGATCCCGTTTGTGAACTTGATTGTATTTGGTGCTGAGAGGATGGTCCTGTTTGTAAAGGAGGCGTCGGCAAAGATGGCGTGATTTGATGATTATATGATGACCCTGGTTGTAAACACGGTTGTATTATATTATGATATTAATTGGTGTTTGTTAAAGTTAAAGCCAATGAATTTTGTGCCTAGACTTTTAGAACATGAGTTAGATAACCTTGAGATCTAAAAGAAAATCCCCCAATTTGAACGTATTAGACTAAATTATGGAATCATTATTTCAAACGTGAACTTGAAGTTGCGGGAAACCATTTTACAAGTTTCGCGAAAATGCATTCTATGAAACGCAGTGTACATAGTCTTGACTTTTAGTGTCTGTTTGGTAGTAACACCAATTGCGAGTCATATAATACGTTTCATCAACAGGGTTTCTCCAGTGTGCATTACTCCTTATAGATAGTATACATTAATTCATTCCGCGAAGCTGTTGAACAACATGATATCATGTCATTCCATGTTGCTTACTGAATTTTATCTCGTTTTATCTGTATTCAAATTTTGCGGAAAATCACCTCGAAATCATACCACCCAGAAGTCAGTCGCTGTAACGTACATAATATATCATACATATTATGTATATATGTACTAAGTAACCCAGGAAAAAAGGAATCTTCACCTACATCTTTCGACACACTAGGAAATGATTCACATGCCTGAAATTATGTATTATATAAGACCGACCGTTGGAAAAATCATTCAGTTAAATAATTATTAGCTTCGCATCTGACGTGCGCTTAGAAATTATGTTTTTATCTTGTCTGGCGCCTTGCGTATGAAACAAATAAGAAATCAAGCAGATTTTCCCAGTACTTTACAATCAAGTTTTTGATTTTCGGTAGTGATACGGCTATATATTGCCAATATAAGATTATATAGCATAATAATGTTACCTTTAGAAAATTGTAGCACAGTAAATGATACAAAGCTTATTTTTACCCACAAGTGAAGAAAAGATGATAATGCCCACGAATATGATAATTTAACCCAAAGTTAATCCACAATGCTGTCTCTGTCATTCAGCAAAGAATCTAATCTATAATTTTGGTAATTATAGCAAATGATTTTAAATACAATCAAATGAAAGAATCTAACTTTCTTAAAAGTTGTATGGCCTTTTCAGCTCGTGCCAATAGGCGAAAAAGTATTATAATGATGAAAAATTTAAAGAATGAGATATTATGTTTTTTCGATGTTACCTGCATTTCCATCACGAAAAATCATCGTACTCCGACTTTCTGTCAGTCTCTCTGTCAATTCGATAATCCTTGGCTCCTACATAGCGCGGAAAGCACTGATCGGATTTTGATATGAAATGTTGACATAAAGATACTACTATGCCAAAGATGAACAAAAAGTTTTGTATGTTTTGAAAATCGATCCAGTCGTTCAAACTTTGTTTTCAACGTTTCATAGACGCCTGCTCATTTTTGGAATTGTTATTGAGGGGAAAAAATGGGGGTGGGATATTGCACTGAAAGGGGGAGGGTATATCTGAATGTTTTTGGTGTTAGTCTATTTATAAGAGTCTAATCCCGGTATTTTTCGCACCTATTAGAAACTTTTCGCATCTAGATTTCCCCTTTCTGCCGTTAGAATCTTATTTTAATATCCGCGGCGAGTGCAACGAGAATAGCTCGTGACAAGCACTAGGTTCATTTTCGGTAAATCAAAATTAGAATATTGACAAAAATCCTAGATTCTGAGCTTTTGGGGTAATATCCGTATCAAAAGACATTAGGTTGCACCCACACGCAACCAAATTTGAGCCAAAAGGAAAGTGATTATTTGTTTGTATTTTATTTTGAGACCTGTGCATTTTTGATGTGGCACGTTAAAAACTGGTTTTTCTCAGTGTTTTTTGGATTCCTCGTTGATTGCCTTTCAGTATTCTTTGTAATATGTGCTGATGAAAAAAATAATCCTTTTCGAAAAGTTGACGTAAACAGAGAATCACTTTCTTTCTGGAATAAACTCGATTGCGTGTGGCTGCATCCTCGAGAGCTTGTGCTTTGTATCTTAACAAGTCAGCCAACACTATCCTCCTCTTTCTACTGAAACATCTACCATACACCGTAATTTGTTGTAGAACTTAGGATGAGTTGTCTTATAACAATCAGAACAATGGAAGATGCTGCTAAAAATATAAAATACAGAGAATGCAGATCTCATATGCACACAACACATCTCAGTGTTGGAACTTTCATTGTCCGTTTCCATATAAACGAAGAAAACTGAAATGGAATCTTCTAGAATACAGAAGAAAACCGAAAGGTACTTCGCTGCCATCGAAACCGATATTTTCAGTTGAAACCATTGAGGCATTTTTATGGTTAGAAACCATGGTGAAAACGACAACCACGTCAGACTCGTTACATTTGTTTTCCAAGTAGTTAAGCCTGACAAGTAGCACACACGTAACCTATATATGTACGTATAAACACATTGCAAGAGAAACTTGCGTCTTTAGGTGCAGCTTGTTGGCGCATACTTGTGATCATTTGAAAGGTGAGACGATTTTTATTTTGTCTGTTTTACCCAAACATGATTGATTATTCCAGGTTTCTCAGTTTCAAATCACTAGGTGTTGCACTATCGACTCGTTATATCCACTTACACATGCAGATTTTTATATTTTGTCGCACTTGAGGTACGTTTCTTATTTAAAAAGTAGCAAGCACATGTGCCGGGCCAGTGGCGCTCCCAGGATTTCAGTCTGGCAGGGGTAGAATGGAAAGTAAATTCTCAGTGTGACGTATGATTTAACATTAAAGGCATGGACATATGCAGACATATGATTTTGTTACAGTAATTTCTGTAGAAAGTACACATTTTTTTTTTAATTTTAAATCATACGAAACCAAAGTGTAAATAAAGCAAAGCAAGCTCGAGCAATCTTCATATATTAAAACAAAAGTGCAAAATAATATAATCTATTACAGACTTTTCTACATAACAACGTCAGACAAAACAACAAAAAATACATCTTCATGAAAGAAATAACAATAACAAATATGTTACGACTTCTATAAAGTATAAAACTGAATGTAAATCAAAATAAAATTCTTAATCATGAGAAAAACACAAAAAATATTCATTGCATAACTACATTCTCTTAGCCAGTCTCGAAAAATAAAAACATATAAACTATGAAACTGGATCAGTTCACAGTCTCAAGGTAAAACAAGCATTACATTAGCTTAGAAAGTGATTTGAACTGAATTTGAACAGACTTTTATATCAATCTGTTGGCCAATAAATAAAACCACATATCTTGATTGGATACTTTGGAAAAGATCACTATGGTGGTTTAAACGTAAGTAAACCCTTAACTACATCTGCTTTTTTAATTATTGGCCAACAGAAGGGAGATGGATTTGAGAGACAAGCTTAGGCAAGTTCGGGTGTTATCATATTACAAAACCAAGGCGCCTATCCTTTTTCCTGGTTCACCGATCTATGATTGTAATCACGTCTATTTTAATATCTCTATGCATATACAAAAGAGCTAAACCCACTAATCGCTCTTGTAACATAGTGGAGCGCAGCCAAGTTTTTATCCTCTTTAGATGGCAGAAATAAGTAATTGTAGGCATCTATTAGTTAAAGGGAAAATGTTTTCATTACATGATAAATGCAGTGACATTTCGCTGTCTATAATATCTTGTGTACGTGACTTTCAAAGGCCAAATTCTGCTTTTAATCTGGTAGTTATTAAATTTTCGTTTTCGTTACTATTTAGTCCACGCAAATATTTAGAGATTGTTTCTAATATGTCCATATCGGCTTCAGTTTTTGAATTGAATACTGACGCAAAGAAAATATTAAAACTGTATATATTCAAAGATTCTTCATTGAACCGGTATACCAAATCCTGTAATATACTATCTAGCAAAGGGACATATAGGTTCAGTCTGTAATGATTTTCCTTGTCAGACGTAACTCGATCTGTTCTTTTGCCTGCTTGCTATTCTTGACACAGTCAGTTCGATACCCAGGGTTTCATGTGATATAATTATAGATGCGAATAGTATTGTAAAGTATTTTTTGGAATTTGAGCGTATTTCTTGTACAACTGAAATAATATTTCCTATGAGTTTGACAGCGTATTGTTGGTCAACTGTTTTTAATTGTAAAATCTTACTCAGGTTGACTGTTAAAGCTAATATATCACACAAACACTTTAGTGATACGATCAATTGGGTGGAAGTAATAGCAGTCTTCAAAGACTTCGCGGACTTTCCAATTTGATATAATATTTAGTACCTCTACAATTTTCTCGAATTTGATTTCAAATTGGAGCATAGAATCATGTCTCTGGATCCATCGTGTTTCGCACATACTATGATTTTGATATCCGTGTAGTTTTCTGTTTAATACTGTATTTATTTTATCGGATGCTTTGAAAAACGCAATTACTTCCTTCATTATACCTACAGTATTTCTTACTGCTTGGACAGTGCTGCTTTTTGAAATCCAAAGCTTTAAGGCATGATTTGCGCAAGGGCTTTTTAGAGCATTTGGCAAACATTTTTGCAATTCCATTACAGCGCCCTTTTGTTCACCTAACATTAGGTTACACGTATCAGTACCAATGTCCACAAATAGTTTTGAGTTTAAGTTATTGGTTTTAATGAAATGCTTGACTCTTTGAGCAAGAATTTGACCTGTGAGTTTGGGCTCCATTGTATCTTCATCAAAATTTGAGAAGCAATCCACAAATCCCATGATGTCCTCGTAAATATGATTTTGATAACAATACCGCAATGCAATTGACATTTGTCATTTATGACTAATATATGTAGTTTCGTCAAATATACGTAATACTGTAATACTGACTTTGCCTGATGCGACTTAAAACTATATCCAAGATTTCTTCGCCACAATATTCTATAATTTCATTTTTTATGCGGCTGCTTATACGCGTAGCAGGCGCTTTTGAGTTCTCTAAGTTTTTTTTCAATAATTTGTCGCCGTTCTCGACTCTAAACCGTATTAGTTCTGAAAAATTCCCTTCATTATTAAGGACATCCCCGTCATTCGTGTTGTCATTAGAAAAAAGTCGTCCCCTATCTCTATGCCCTCTAAGTGGGATAATTTGGCGTCCTAAAAAAATTATAGATTCTATTATAGGAGTCAATCTTTGCCGATTTTACACCCTTTAGCCCCGTAGGAGCACCAGTGTCCGGGCGCATATTGCAGACTGTTATACTGTTATAGTCTATAGCATGTCGATTTCTTCAACACTCCGTATAAAAGTTCCAGGACACATGACGCAAACTTAATTCTCCTTTTCGCAAGCTACGGCTCATGCCGCGGCACATGTTCCGGCGCTTGTTCCGCAACATGTTACAGACCGTATAAAACTCTGGCTCATCATGCGGTGCATGTTGCTGTTGTGTTGTTATGGAAATACACTTTCACAAGGTACTCCCTTGATTTTATTTTAGTTTTTGTCTTCAAGCACTGATTTTTCACGAGGAAAGTGTTCTATATGATAATTTCGTTTCTGAACTGAACATATTTGATTTGTTTTTCTAATTATCCTTCTAGCTGACTCACTTTCTTCCGGTTAATAGTAGTAGTAGTTGTGAGGAGGCCTATCACCTTCCCCCCTTGTGCCTACTTACCTTTTACGGTTTTAAGCAGTAGTTCGAATCTTCATAATTTCATAATGCTGGATAAGATGTCCGACTATTCTGCTTAATATGCCTATCCGTTATTGAACTACATCATACCGCATATTTCACCTCTTACACCTAGATACATGTCGACTTGGAAGTGGAACGGCATGGTCCTCTTCCGTACATGGGGCAAATGAGCTTTCACTCTGAGAGAAATATATCTATTTAGTCTGCAGTGGCTCGTAAGAATTGACCAAAAGGTTGAGCGATTCTCTCCCTAGTTATAGAACATCCGATGTTTTTGTTGGGTCTCGCTAGTTACGAGTATCCGTTAACCTGCCTGGATATAGTCGTCTCTCTTAATGCCTGTCGTTCCTTATGTCCCCACTCGTCGAAACCCGATACTAGTGCGCTTTTTGTCAGTCAAGGTACAGTACTGTATTTTGGAAGCATTAAACTGTAGCAGATTGTTGCGTCTCGAAGCAGTGATAACCTCCAGGTCTGTCGCTGGAGAGGAACTAGCTGGTAGTGTTTCTTCTCCAGCTCACCGGCAGAGATCGGATTGTCGCTCTAAATTCCTGTATGTAGAGTGTTGTTATTAGCAAAACTGTGGATCCGATGGATCGTACAGGAAAGGTCGTTGATATGTAAGAGGGACAATGTCGGAGCCAAGACCGATCCCCCATAAACACCCGCGTTGAAAGTGTGCGATAAAGAAGAGAACCTGTTAATTATGACCATATTATGACGGAGATCTTGCGAGTAGAGAGGAATAGCGCTACCCATCTGCAAAGCTTCTCTCATAGGAAATAGGATGGAAGTTTGCCAATAAGGGCAGCATGCCAAAGCTGATCGAATGATTCCGTGATATCAAGAGCAACGACATAAGCCTCAACAGTAGGCTAGGAGATCCCACGTGGATCGCTGCTGCCAGAAACCATACTGCCTGGCGCTAATCAAGCTGCGACGTTCAAGGTACTCCATAAGTTTCCCATTTATGCACCTCTCCATCACCTTACTTATAACAGAAAGCCTGTAGATGTACGGGTTGGTCTTGAATCCTTTTCTTGGGATGGGCTGGGATGGATTTGAGCAAATTTCCACCTGGAGTAGGTCTTCCATCCATGGGTACTGTGGTAACTTCTTTGTCTTTCTTGGTGAGGAGGTCGTTACTACTCTTCGTTTTCTTCAATGTATCCAAAGAGATCAATTTGTTTCCACACAAGGTTTCATGGAAAATACCTCCGTTTGCGACGAAAAAGAGTTTAATGTGCTGAAATAGAAGCTACATATAACTCTAACCAAAGCCAATCCACCTGAGTTAAAATTATGCGACAAAGAGGGCACAAAGACCCTTTGTTTCCGTTGGCCAATTTTCACAAAATGTCTGTCAAAAAGCAACGTGCTTGCTTTCAGCCTTTCCACATGGCCAAATGGCCATCTGCTTTTGTCGTATCGTTTTATAGATGTCTATAGTTTTCTTGTTCTGATATTTTATCTTATATTACTGATACTCAGCTCCCAAAACCTCCTGTTTCTATTTGCTTCAAACAACATATCATTCTGTTTGATCTAGATCAGCTCTGCAGAAGCGTTATATATTTGTACAATGTTGGCCTGAAAGTGTTGTTTTGCCGAGCTTCAGATTGGCTAAAAGTTATGCAAGTCCAATTTTTGACAGTAAACAAATGTAATGGAAAGAAAGAGTCGAGTAAAAGCAAAGAGAGAGACAGAGAAAGAATGAATCTAGGTCGCACAAGGCCGTCTGGTCGTCGATGTCCATCGGCAGCCGAATATACCAAATGTTATGCAACGAAGGATAACAAAACTGTCGTTTTCACTGTCATGGTGCCTCAAGAAATTATGTATGTATACACTCCAATGAAAACAAAAGCAGCTATTACGTGACGATTATTCTAATTGGACGGTACTGTCGATGACAAGTTTCGAAAAGATTCACTGGAGTTTGTGCTACCTGTTTTGTACTGACAAGGTGCTCCAGAATATACAGACAATTCCTTACGGTCATATATGTAGATCACAAGAAAATACTGTGATAAGCTGGTACAAACGAATTTCCCAGGGAGTAGAAGTCCCGTAAGAGATATTACTAAAGCTGGTATGTCCTAAGTAAATTTTCGACAAAATTGTAACCAATTAGGACCGCACATGATGAACTTCATATATCAGTGTCAACGGTACACCAGCCCTAACTAAATGTTATTTTTCTCACTGTATAATAACAAATAAAAATTGATATATTGTTTGAAAGTTGTAAAAAGGTACTCTTGTTATAATTACAAAATGAACCGTTTACATATGTCAGTACTTACTGTTTCCTTTAATGGGGAAACATTTTCAACATGTATATGCTTATGTGATAAAAAGATCTCGGAATTATTCATTACACTTTTCCACGTATGAATTACTTATATTGATTGTTGTGATGATCGTGTTCTAAAGATTTATGGTCATAGCATTTCCTATTATACTATTATTTTACAATGCAAATGAACTGAATTTGTGCCAATTATATGAAATAAATATTTCATCATTAGATAGAAACGTGCCAAAAATATGTATTATGCAATCTGCACATGTCGCAAATAAGAACTCCGTATTCTACTTGTATCAGCATAACATGAACGTAGTAAAATTCGCGAAATATTTCCAATGCGTTACACTATCAATTAACACTCTAAAATGAAATTTTATATCCATTATGCCTGTATCTTTAAATAGATGAAAAAATGTGCGAGTCACTATTTTTTGAATCACATGCTAATGTAGATTTCATAAAATGATCAAATATCGAAGGCAGAAACTAAGCATCAGAGTACAATGACTACTTTAAAATAGTTAATTATATCTTGTTGATAATGGGTAAATTTAGTGAAACGGTTGTACTGGTCAGTTCTCTTTGATACATTTGACTATTTCTTCACTCTCTGTACTTTGCACAATATGAACGTCGTGTACCCGAATCAAATTATGCTTTTATTGGACTCATCTCGCTAGATCACCCTAATCACCCTTGTTCAAATTAAATTACAAAATGCTGGTTATTTGGGTCGGTTTTTTTAAGAGGGCTTGTCTATTCTCTTATAATTAAGATTCCAGACGTGTGTTTGCTGTATGACTCCTTGCTCGTTTTTTTTTTGTATATCAGCCAAGTGTTGGCTTATGTATCTAGGCTTAGTGGTCCACATTACCACAATGTTGTACATTTTGTCATCACTTTTCGGCTCCAGCTCATTATACTTCGAAGCGGTAAAGATCGCCTTTGGGTTGGATTTTGCGGAAAATTTTGTTACCAACGTACTATGACATACATACAAGCCTGTTAGTTATTCCAACCTATATAACATCATTTTCACGACAAGACAATACGATAATCCTTAGAACCAAACACGGTCTCAGCAAAAATATGATATCAACGAATTTGAATAGATTAGAAGCCAAGCCTATACGTTTTCATTGCATTGTTTGACTTTTGACTAATTTGTCTACCAATGCCTACCAAACTGACAGAATTGTAATACTAATCGGTGAAAACATCTACCTTCATTAGGTTTGTGCCGCTTTTTGCAAATTATGTAAGAAGTACCATGTATTGAAATAGTCTAATACCACATTTGTCTGCAAACCCCGCGCTTTAAAAAAATAATACTAAATATACGAATTTAATGACAGAACAGTAAAAACATTGGCTGCAAAGTGCACTTTGATCCTTACTGCAGACTGAACATTTGGGGACAAACAAATCTTTGACTGGCTCCTTCCACCTAGCGTGAATTAGTACCTACCTAGTATTAGTATGGTAGATAATGAGACCTCAGTGTGTGGTACTTTGTGCTTTGGATTTTGGATGCAAATGGTTGTGGTTTGGGCGCCACATAGTTCCAAGCAATAGGAAAAGAAGTAACAAGTAACCAATGTTGGATTTCTGGCGCTAAAGGAGATACAAACTCACAAGGTACACAAACATTTATTGAACAGAAGAAATAAAAAAAATAAAAGAAGCCCTGGAGGACCAGCAAAGAAAGTTATTTTGTACTACCCCCCAGCTAAATGGCTTCCAGTAAAAAAAAAACGAAAGTAAAAAAAACCTTGGCAGGTACCTGGCTATCACAGGAGGGCAACCGAGGGCAGGAAGTCCCAGATGTAACTTGATACCCGAAGATAGAACCCGCAGATAGAACCCTAAATAGAAAAAATTACTTGTTAAAAACAATAACCCGAAATAACGATATGACTACTAATTCCCCTTTAAATTTCCTACTTTTGTAGTTGCATGTGTGCATTCATTTCGGGCCTGATGAAGCCAACCAGCAGAAATACGTATCGCTCGGGTTACCTATCCCATTTTCTGCTCCAATCCACTTTTTGCGGATTTTGTCCATTATTTTCCTATTTTTTTTTATATATATATATACGAGGGGTCCAAAAATAACCAGAATAGCATTGCAGTGGGCGGAGCTTGTGTAGTACACATGCCTGCCCCTAGAGGCATACAGCGCAACTCATTACCAGTTGAGTGCCACCTGAGTTGTCGATCTGGCTTGTTTCGTTCCTCTGCAGTCATTATTGTTGCTAGAGCTGTTTCGTGCTTGTTTCGTTTTTTATGATGGCAAGCTTCAGTGAGCAACGTGCAGCTGTGAAATTTTGCTTTCTAATTGGTAAAAATGCTACTGAAACTATTTTAATGTTGAAAATAGCTTACAAAGATGATGCTATGGGAAAAACTCAGGTGTTCGAGTGGTTTGCTCGATATAAAAATGGCGGGATGTCGATTGATGACAAACCTTGCTCTGGATGTCCACCAACTGCCCGAATCGACGAAAATGTTGAAAAAATGCGAGAGCTTGTACTATTTGGAGGTTTTCGGTTCAGTGTTCGGCAATAAAGACCCCATTTGTGGCAGTCAGAAGACTGGTTCTTCCACCACGATAATGCACCTGCGCACACAGCCATCTTTGTTTGACAGTTTCTGTGCTAAAAATGGCATGGTTCCGCTGCCTCACGCACCTTATTCGCCAGACCTGGTTCCGTGCAACTTTTATTTATTTCCAGGGGTGAAAAGAGGCATGAAAGGACGCCGCTTTGACAACATTGAAGAGGTCAAGGAAAAAAACGAGGGAGGAGCTGTCAGACATTTCTAAGGAAGACTTCAAAAAATGTTTAGAGCAGTGGAAGCACCGGTGGGACAAGTGTATTAGTTGTAGTGGACAGTATTGTGAAGGAGATGAGGTTATTTTGTGAAAAAGTTGAAAATAAATAGCTTTTAATAAATAATTCCGTTTTTTGGGTACCCCCTCGTATATATATATATATTTCATGTCCTCCCTCAGCAGTAAAGCAATTAAAATGTTACTTGAGAACAGCAGGAATATTTTACCTCGTGAGCATGGCTCACTCAAATTTTAGTAAATATACAACCAGAATCAGAAGCTACAGCAATATAAAAATAACACTATATCAGGGCTGTCCAACATACGGCCCGTGGGCCGGAACTCCTTTCTTGCGGCCCGCTTCACGGGTCATGTATACATCACATGTATAAATTACTCTCAAATATCGAATATGCACAATTCTGTAATAATGTTGTATAGAATGATTTTATAATGCGGCCCTCCAAACTGCATTTTTTTTGAAGTGGCCCTCGGGTCACATTAAGTTGGACATCCCTGCACTATGTCATTCTCAGTGTTTGTACTATTATAGGGAACAATTGTAGGATACGAAATTGATAATATGAAAATAGCAATATAACGATAACCGTGAAAACATCTCATCTTAGAAGATTTCGAAGTACCGCCCCGTACCATTACATTTTTACTACATGGGCAGTACGTAAACAATTCGATATGGGCAACAATGTCAGGGTAGTATTAAAGTCACTTACTTGGTGACGAAACGACAACGAGTTATCCTCCTTTGGCAAGCGATAAGGGCGATATGATTGGATTGTCGGGGCCAACACCTATTTTTAGAAAAAGACTTATGAGTATCTCCCGTATTCAACCGACTCATGACAACACATGCACAAATCTACTATCTACCATTACATTAATGTACCCCAACTACTATTACGGATTCGTCATCGACTGAATCACGGGACCGTCATCACGACAGACTGATCCTGACCGTCATCACGACAGACTGGTCGTTAAGTCATCACGACAGATTTAATAGGAGTCATCACACAGACTCAATAGGAGTCATCACGACAGACTCAATATAACTCTTTGGTCGCTAGGTGTATGGTCAGACGTGCTGAGTTTAACGATTGTTACAAAAAGACAGTCCAGGAACCGGGATATCACGCCGACCAAGGCCGTTGTGTCAATACCCCAAATCTCCGACATTACCCCTGAATCAGAGGTAACCGAGCAATATGACTATCATTAAAGTAACAATCCCTGCACACATCCTGCCATGAGATACATTCAGACTCCAACGATTGCCAAGTGAAGATAGTTAAGCGGTCATTAAGACCAAGGATGCCACTTCGACCAAAGGCCACCGTGTCAACATCCAAAGCGCTCCGACATTTCCCCTGGTAGAGGAAACCGAGCAGTAAGTTACATAACTACCTCAACCCAGCAAACGGGCTCCGAAAGTCCCATAACAACCCCCAGAACCTGGAGGCGTCCCACCTGCGGATATTCAATAACAAGTCGTAAGCCATAAGTTAAATTATGAAGGTAAAAAGTATAGCATCTTTATAAACATGGCTTAAGACATTCATGATCATGAATATGAAACTACTATGGTTATCAATCCATGCAGTACAGTAGAATAAAGGAAACACTCAGTGATAGCTCACCTTTCAGGTAACTAAAACACCACACCCAATAGCACATCAACACCGTAATGAAGTTCACTCTACTTGGTCTGAGAAGCGATGTGATCCACGCGATAATTGAAATGCATCTACGCCAGACTAACAAAGTTTATCCTGGGAGCAGGTACCCAGCGAAGGAATGGAATGTATAATGTAAACAGGCGTAAGGGCTGTCGCGTTGAGTCACACTAAGCTGCCTTGTGTAACTTCTGGAAAGTTTTCGTGTGCTACAGGGTTGGACTCGCATGCAAAAAAATAAAAAAAAGTGTTTGAGATATTTCGTAAGCTTACATTCGGCCATCCGACATTCACCTCGCCCCGAGGTGATCATTCGCTGCCCGACGACGCTGGAAGTGGGACCCCATCGTCACCACTTTCGCTACCCGTGTCGTCCGAAACACCTCCTGGTGTACACCAAGGTTTCATCCTGTCCACCGCAACCGTCCTCTCATAATTCGCCTTTCTCCCGGTACGGTGCGATCCCCCCATGTCCGATACAACATACCTATCATTAGGCAAAGCCGCTTTAACAACCAATGGACCGCTATAAGGTGACTGTAATTTCCGACTCGCCCCCGTAGCAGAATTCTGCTTTTCGACCAAGACTAAATCGCCTGGTCTATATTTCCGCGGAGCCTCCCGCTTCTTGTCAAAACTGGCTTTTTGTTTCTGTTGAGCTGCCTCTATTTTTTTGGGCAGCTCTCTCCCTTGTGGCAACAAGGTCTTCGAGGAGTATGTGGACTTGACTAACTTCGTCCTTTAGAACCATATCCACACCGTTTCGAGGTCCATAACCAAATAAAAGTTGACTTGGAGTTTTCCCTGTAGACTTATTTGGGACGTTGTTTATGGCAAACTGAACATTTGGAAGTTCTCTGTCCCACAGGTCTTCCTCCAACGTCGATGTAAGTAAAGCGTTCAGCAACGTCCGATTTAACCGCTCTACTTGTCCGTTTGCCCTGGGCGTCGCTACAGCATTCAGAATATGTTTGATATTGTTCTGATGGCAGAAATCTCTGAATTTCTTGGCTGTAAACGAGCTTCCTTGATCACTGATTAGTACTCTAGGTACTCCATATGTCGCTGACAGGGTTGCGATGTGACATATTTAGTCTTTGTCGACTTTACGGCCTTCAGTGCGACAAATTTCGTGAACCCATCAATTATCGCTAAAATGTGACAATTGCCTTTCCTACTCTTTGGGAATGGTCCCATGTGGTCAACGTGCACCGTGAAGAAAGGAGTTGGAGTTTTCGGAATCGGGTGCAAGAACCCTTCCTTTCTACCAGCTGGTTTCTTGTTATACAGGCATGGGATGCAGCAAGAAATATATTTCTCCGCATACTTCCTCATCCTTGGAAACCAGTAGTGATCCGTTAAACGATAAAATGTTTTGTCCACGGCAAAGTGAAAAAAAATCATCATGAGCCGCTTTCACTACTTGATGCCGCATACCTCGTGGCACAACCCATTGAATACCTCGAACCGTAACACGATATACTCGTCCGTCCCTCAAAGCATAGTCCTTGTAGACTTGCTTTTCCTCGTTCGACGTAGGCGGTCTGGACAAGATATCGTGAATTCGCTTGATCTTCTCGTCGGTAAGCTGTCCAGATAATACCCAATCAGCCTGATCAACTCGGAACACCGTTTCCGTTTCGGCAGCCTCGTCAGCACAACCGACTGGATTTCTACTTAGACAATCCACGTGTGCCATTCGAGGTCTGTACTTCACTTCAAAGTCAAACTCCTGTAGTTGCAACCACCACCTAGCAATTCTGGGTATTATTTGCTTCTTTACACTGGTGGCCTTCAATGCATTACAGTCAGTCACTACTATAAAATGAACCCCTAGCAGATATACCCGGAACTTTTTCAAACTTTCAACCACCGCCAGAGTTTCCAACTCATATGAGTGGTACTTCTGCTCACCATCGGTGGTTTGTCTACTGTAGTACGCCACTGGGTGTAGCCGCTCATCGGGCTGCATTTGCAAGAGTATTCCTGCAACGCCCAGCATACTTGCGTCGCAATGAACTTCAGTCGCAGCGGCTGCGTCATACAAAGCCAAAACTGGCCGACTCACTAAGTTGCTCTGCAACTTCCTAAATGAGCCTTCTTCCTGCTCGCCCCATCGCCAAGACACACTCTTTCTGAGAAGATTTGTGAGGGGTTTAGCTACGATAGCGTAGTCCTTTACAAAATGCCTGAAGTATTCTGTTAGTCCAAGGAACTGTCGGACTTGGTGTACAGTTCTTGGTTGACAAACACTCTCCACCGCTTTTGTCTTCTCCTCGCCGGGTTTGACCTTTCCATCCTCGATTTGGAAACCCAGAAATGTAACTGATCTCATCAGAAAAGCACATTTCTTCAAGTTCAAAGTGAGGCCTTCCTCTCGAAAGTTTTCCAAAACCTTTTTTTATACCCTCTAATGCTTCCTCCGCAGTCTTAGCATGCAGCAATACATCATCAAGATATACAGCTGCAATGTCTCCCGGAGTGACAAACGCTGTGTATGGCCATGATTCCTCCTCCATAGGGATTTGGTAGTATCCGAACCTGAGATCTAGACTGGTGAAATAGATCTCGTCACGGAGACTGTCGACTTGATCGTCAATTGTTGGCAAGAGGTGACTGTCCTTAATTTCTATCACACACAAACGGCGATAGTCGATACATAACCTTTCTTCGATCTTCATTTTTCTTCTTCATCAGAAGAACCGAGGATGCATAGTTTGCGTCTCATGCTCATATGACTTCCACGCTCAGAATATCATCGACTATCTCCTCCACAGCCTCTAGCTCTGAGTGAGCCATTTGGAAAGCCCGATACGTGAATGCTTTTTCTCTTTAAGCTGTATCGTCATTTCAGCGGACTCACTGAGTTCAGCCATCGACTGAGCAAAACAGCCGCGATATTGATTCGGCAAGCTAACCAAGTTTCCTAGCCAAACTTCCGATATGGATCCAACCGTGAAATCCTCCTCTTTATTTGAGACCCTCGAAATATAAATGATCTCCTCAGGAAATCAGATCACTTTGAATATAGACGTGAGGCTTTTATATCAATAAATTTCCAAAACTCTCTGGGTATCTCCATCGTTTCGCCGACTACCTTAGCTGGCAATAATCCACCATCACAATATCATGAAGTTATTAGACAGACTGAGAAAACCTCTCTAAATTCACATAGAAAGCCAAGACAACAAAGGATGTGCAGGACTCGAATTGTTCCTAGATGGATACCTTTAGAGTTACAAAGGAACCTGCCTATAGTGAAAAGCAACTTATTTGCAACATCTTCAGAAGTGAAGGGTTTTCCAACAAGTAAAATGTATTTCTAACGTAACTTTGGTACCACAAGGGTTTTTATACCCACGTCACACCATTATTCTCAATGC